TCTCTACTCTCTCTCTCTCTCTCTCTCTCTCTCTCTCTCTCTCCCCTCCCTCTCCCCTGTCTCTCCCTCTCTATCCCTCTCTACCTGTCTGTCTGTCTCTCTCCCCCCTCCCCAGGTGTACTGCGTTCCCATTGGTGGGATGCTGGTGAGGCAGCCCGTCTCAGTGGGGGGGAGCGGCTCCTCCTACATCTACGGCTACATGGACTCCAACTACAAACCCAACATGACCAAGGACCAGTGCCTGGAGCTGGTGGGAGCAGGTACTGAGGGGCATGCTGGGAGCTGTAGTCCTCATCTGGTCCACTGCAGGGCATGCTGGGAGCTGTAGTCCTCATTTGGTCCACTGTAGAGCTGCTGCAGGGCATGCTGGGAGCTCTAGTCCTCATCTGGTCCACTGTAGAGCTGCTGCAGGGCATGCTGGGAGCTGTAGTCCTCATTTGGTCCACTGTAGAGCTGCTGCAGGGCATGCTGGGAGCTCTAGTCCTCATCTGGTCCACTGTAGAGCTGCTGCAGGGCATGCTGGGAGCTGTAGTCCTCATCTGGTCCACTGTAGAGCTGCTGCAGGGCATGCTGGGAGCTGTAGTCCTCATCTGGTCCACTGTATAGCTGCTGCAGGGCATGCTGGGAGCTGTAGTCCTCATCTGGTCCACTGTAGAGCTGCTGCAGGGCATGCTGGGAGCTGTAGTCCTCATTTGGTCCACTGTAGAGCTGCTGCAGGGCATGCTGGGAGCTGTAGTCCTCATCTGGTCCACTGTAGAGCTGCTGCAGGGCATGCTGGGAGCTGTAGTCCTCATCTGGTCCACTGTAGAGCTGCTGCAGGGCATGCTGGGAGCTGTAGTCCTCATCTGGTCCACTGTAGAGCTGCTGCAGGGCATGCTGGGAGCTGTAGTCCTCATCTGGTCCACTGTAGAGCTGCTGCAGGGCATGCTGGGAGCTCTAGTCCTCATCTGGTCCACTGTAGAGCTGCTGCAGGGCATGCTGGGAGCTGTAGTCCTCATCTGGTCCACTGTAGAGCTGCTGCAGGGCATGCTGGGAGCTCTAGTCCTCATCTGGTCCACTGTAGAGCTGCTGCAGGGCATGCTGGGAGCTCTAGTCCTCATCTGGTCCACTGTAGAGCTGCTGCAGGGCATGCTGGGAGCTGTAGTCCTCATCTGGTCCACTGTAGAGCTGCTGCAGGGCATGCTGGGAGCTCTAGTCCTCATCTGGTCCACTGTAGAGCTGCTGCAGGGCATGCTGGGAGCTGTAGTCCTCATCTGGTCCACTGTAGAGCTGCTGCAGGGCATGCTGGGAGCTGTAGTCCTCATCTGGTCCACTGTAGAGCTGCTGCAGGGCATGCTGGGAGCTGTAGTCCTCATCTGGTCCACTGTATAGCTGCTGCAGGGCATGCTGGGAGCTGTAGTCCTCATCTGGTCCACTGTAGAGCTGCTGCAGGGCATGCTGGGAGCTGTAGTCCTCATCTGGTCCACTGTAGAGCTGCTGCAGGGCATGCTGGGAGCTCTAGTCCTCATCTGGTCCACTGTAGAGCTGCTGCAGGGCATGCTGGGAGCTGTAGTCCTCATCTGGTCCACTGTAGAGCTGCTGCAGGGCATGCTGGGAGCTGTAGTCCTCATCTGGTCCACTGTAGAGCTGCTGCAGGGCATGCTGGGAGCTGTAGTCCTCATCTGGTCCACTGTAGAGCTGCTGCAGGGCATGCTGGGAGCTGTAGTCTTCATCTGGTCCACTGTAGAGCTGCTGCAGGGCATGCTGGGAGCTGTAGTCCTCATCTGGTCCACTGTAGAGCTGCTGCAGGGCATGCTGGGAGCTGTAGTCTTCATCTGGTCCAAAAATATTTACAATAAAAACTTGAGATTCTTTCAACTAATAGAAAAATATTTATAATTAAAAAAAACTTGAAAAACTCCAGAAACTCCTTTTTTATAAAATATAAACAGAATATTATTTCAGATGAAATAAAAACTCACCCGTCTCTCTATCTTTCTCTCCCCCTCACCTCTCTCTCCCTCTCTCACCTGTCTGTCTCTCAGCGGTTGCCCTGGCGATGGAGAGAGACGGGTCCAGCGGGGGTGTGATCCGATTGGCCAGCATCTCTGAGGCGGGGGTGGAGCGACGAGTCATCCTCGGGAACCAGCTGCCCAAGTGCTCCACACACTAACACACACACACACACACACACACACACACTCTGTGCTGTGTTTGGTTTTGCTGTCAATAAAGTTTTCAGTCTGTCTCTGGCCTCCTGTCTGCTTCTGTTAGCTTAGCACAAACACTGTAAGTGAAGGGAAACTGTTAGCATGTGTAACCCTGACAGCTGCTGGGATCTGACTTAAAGGTCTCCTATCATCCAGAGTGCAGAGACTCTCTGAGGCCCCGGCTCCACGAGGACAAATACGGCAAAACGCATCGGAGTAACGCAAATGCAACCGCAAAAAACCTTCCGCCCCCACGCAATATACACCGGATTGTGTCAAGCTCCACGAGACGGCTCCGTTTACATCCAAACGCTGGAAAAGCTGCAGTACATATGCCGAACCTGTACGTGGCGCTGTAACTTCCTCCACAAAAGCAGCGAAGAAGAATGGTTGTCATGGCTGCACTTCTGTGTATTCTCCGCGGTGGGGGCCGAGGGAACCGGGCAGAGTTTTTCGCCGGTCAGCGTGTGTTAAAGTTTAAATCTTCCGGACAAAATTATAAAAGTGCCGGTCAAAGGTCTTCTTTGTTATTTATTGAGCTTTAAAACAAATGAATAACGACTCTATATAATGATATATAATAATAAAATACACGGAGCCTCTCTTTTTCCTCTCTTCTCACAGCGTCAGTGTCTGTCTCATGCAGCAGCTGATCCAGTAATGAGTGACCCGACAGTAAAAATAAACATATTTATAACTAGTTTAGGTAGTTTGAGAGGTAATTAAAATAGCTAAGGGTGATGATCTGACTTGAAGTGTGTGTTTTACTCCCGCTGCATCACAGCGGCAGGAGCTGCGTGTCTCCGTCCTGTCAGATTAGACTTCACTCGCGTTTATGTCCATATCGAGATAAAGATAAATAATCTGAATTCAAGGAGGAGCTCCTGTAGATGTTGCACAAAGAACTGTAGCATGGTCAGTAGCGACTGGAGCACGATAGCAACCCTGCGGGGGAGAGGCGGGGCTATGAAACGGATGACCGTATAGGCGACTCCACGACCCCGTTGGACCCCCCAGAGCGCTCCGTTCCAAGATCTATCCACCTTTGGACCCGTTGTCGTTTGCGGGGTCTGTTTCTACGTTTCCCTTACGGCGTCGTCGAGCTTAGAGGGCTATACGCAAGAGAAATATGCGTATTCAACCAGTTTCCGTCCTCGTGGAGCCGGGGCCTTAATGCACATCGAGGACCGAGGAGGCTCTCTGGAGGAGGCTCTCTGGAGGAGGAGGCTCTCTGGAGGAGGAGGCTCTCTGGAGGAGGAGGCTCTCTGGAGGAGCTCTAACCGAGGAGACACTGGCTTCCAAGCCAATATTTCAAGGATGCTACATCGAGTGCCGCCGAAGGACTGTTCCAATCTCCAGCATACTTGGAATTCCACCGAGGCCGCGTCCTTGGTTTGGGGGAAATTTCGAGGCTGCACATGGGTAGACTTCGCGTCCTTAAAATCCCCACAATGCTTTGCGCACGGACCAATTTCCCCAAATCTGTGGCGGAAGATGTAAGGAGGCGGGGCCTCTCATATGACGCACACCTGTTCCACTCTTCGTTTTCCGAATGTCAGGAAGTAACAAAGAGTCCAGATGTTTCTAAAACCATTTAGTGCTTCACAAAATAAAATACACAACGGCTGTAGCCTGATGATATGCTTTAGGAGCTGTAGGTGTGTGTGGTACAGTGTGTGTGTAGGTGTGTTGGTGTGTGTGTGGTACAGTGTGTAGGTGTGTGTGTGTGTGTGTGTGTGTGTGTGTGTTGGTGTGTGTGTGGTGTAGGTGTGTGTGTGTGTTGGTGTGTGTGTGGTGTAGGTTGGTGTGTTGGTGTGTGTGTGGTGTAGGTGTGTAGGTTGGTGTGTGTGTGTGGTGTAGGTGTGTGTGGTACAGTGTGCAGATGCAGCAGACAGACAGGTCTCAGTTGGTTTGGTGTCTGCTTACTTAATACTTGTAAATAAAACTTGTGGCCCGTCATTTCAAGCTACTGACCCAGAGTCAGCTCCTTAGTAACAGCTAGGAGAGAGAGGGGGGGGTGAGGCATGAAACGTCTCATAACCCAGAGGTGCAGTTCCCTCAGACTCCAGCAGGGGGAGACACTCCCTCACATTTAAAGATCCAAGTCTCTCTCACCACGTGCTCAGCAGCTTCAGAGGAGAGAAGGAGATAACTGAAGTCTCCTCCAGCAGAGCAGCTTGAACATAGAACATAGAACACAGAACACAGAACATAGAACAGATCAAATAGAGAAGAGAAGGTTTTGAGACGTGCAAGAAGAGTCTTTATACAAGTACATGGAATATGAGATGAAGATAAATAATTAGCAGACAGATGGATGTTCTGGATGTTCTGGATGTTCTGGATGTTCAGGATGTTCTGGATGTTCTGAATGTTCTGGATGTTCAGGATGTTCTGGATGTTCTGGATGTTCTGGATGTTCAGGATGTTCTGGATGTTCAGGATGTTCTGGATGGATGTTCTGGATGTTCAGGATGTTCTGAATGTTCTGAATGTTCTGGATGTTGTTCTGGATGTTCTGAATGTTCTGGGTGTTGTTCTGGATGTTCTGAATGTTCTGAATGTTCTGGATGTTGTTCTGGATGTTCAGAATGTTCTGAATGTTCAGAATGTTCTGAACATTCAGAACATTCTGGATGTTCAGAATGTTCAGGATGTTCTGGATGTTCAGGATGTTCTGGATGTTCTGGATGTTCTGAATGTTCTGGGTGTTGTTCTGGATGTTCTGAATGTTCTGGATGTTGTTCTGGATGTTCAGAATGTTCTGAATGTTCAGGATATTCTGGATGTTCAGAATGTTCAGATGTTCTGGATGTTCTGAATGTTCTGGATGTTCTGAATGTTCAGAATGTTCAGATGTTCTGGATGTTGTTCAGAATGTTCTGGATGTTCTGGATGTTCTGGATGTTCTGGCTGTTCAGAATGTTCAGATGTTCTGGATGTTCTGCATGTTCTGGATGTTCTGGATGTTCTGAATGTTCAGATGTTCTGGATGTTCTGAATGTTCTGGATGTTCTGGATGTTCTGAATGTTCAGATGTTCTGGATGTTCTGGATGTTCAGAATGTTCTGGATGTTCTGAATGTTCAGAATGTTCAGATGTTCTGGATGTTCTGGATGTTCTGAATGTTCTGGATGTTCTGAATGTTCAGATGTTCTGAATGTTCTGGATGTTCTGAATGTTCAGAATGTTCAGATGTTCTGAATGTTCAGGGTGTTCTGGATGTTCAGAATGTTCTGGATGTTCTGGATGTTCAGAATGTTCTGGATGTTCTGAATGTTCAGGGTGTTCTGAATGTTCAGAATGTTCAGAATGTTCTGGATGTTCTGAATGTTCTGGATGTTCTGAATGTTCAGGGTGTTCTGGATGTTCAGAATGTTCTGGATGTTCTGAATGTTCAGAATGTTCAGATGTTCTGGATGTTCTGGATGTTCTCCTCAGAGCTCAGGAGTCAGTGTGATGGCCTGAGGGAGGAAACTGACCCTGAGTCTGGGGTTTAGTCCGGATGTATTTAGACACAGTGAGGATATATAAACAATATGGAGAGAATATAATACATTTAATTAATTATAATGTTTTACACCACGATTGAAATATGTTTTAAAGAGAGCTCGTTAATTATTCAGCAGGGAGAGCAACACACTCTCACTCCCTGATCGTCCAGGAGCGACGCTTGGTCAGGGTCCTGAGCGTCCAGGAGCGACGCTTGGTCAGGGTCCTGAGCGTCCAGGAGCGACGCTTGGTCAGGGTCCTGAGCGTCCAGGAGCGACGCTTGGTCAGGGTCCCGTGGCGTCCAGGAGCGACGCTTGGTCAGGGTCCTGAGCGTCCAGGAGCGACGCTTGGTCAGGGTCCTGAGCGTCCAGGAGCGACGCTTGGTCAGGGTCCTGAGCGTCCAGGAGCGACGCTTGGTCAGGGTCCCGTGGCGTCCAGGAGCGACGCTTGGTCAGGGTCCTGAGCGTCCAGGAGCGACGCTTGGTCAGGGTCCAGAGCGTCCAGGAGCGACGCTTGGTCAGGGTCCAGAGCGTCCAGGAGCGACGCTTGGTCAGGGTCCCGAGGCGTGCAGTTGGGACGCTTGGTCAGGGTCCTGAGCGTCCAGGAGCGACGCTTGGTCAGGGTCCCGTGGCGTCCAGGAGCGACGCTTGGTCAGGGTCCTGAGCGTCCAGGAGCGACGCTTGGTCAGGGTCCAGAGCGTCCAGGAGCGACGCTTGGTCAGGGTCCAGAGCGTCCAGGAGCGACGCTTGGTCAGGGTCCTGAGGCGTCCAGGAGCGACGCTTGGTCAGGGTCCTGAGGCGTCCAGGAGCGACGCTTGGTCAGGGTCCTGAGCGTCCAGGAGCGACGCTTGGTCAGGGTCTTGAGCGTCCAGGAGCGACGCTTGGTCAGGGTCCTGAGCGTCCAGGAGCGACGCTTGGTCAGGGTCCCTAAGCGTCCAGGAGCGACGCTTGGTCAGGGTCCTGAGCGTCCAGGAGCGACGCTTGGTCAGGGTCCCTAAGCATCCAGGAGCGACGCTTGGTCAGGGTCCTGAGCGTCCAGGAGCGACGCTTGGTCAGGGTCCTGAGCGTCCAGGAGCGACGCTTGGTCAGGGTCCTGAGCGTCCAGGAGCGACGCTTGGTCAGGGTCCCGAGGCGTGCAGTTGGGACGCTCCGAGGCTCCTTCAGCTTCATAAAGGGACGCAAAGAGCTTTCAACTGATTGCAATGTATTCCCATCGGCGGCGGGATTTGACGCTCATGGAAGCACGGCATTCGTTTGTGTCGGAGGCTGTTAAAGGCAATGTGAGCGTCCATTCCCATTGGATAACGGAGAATTGTACACCCGGAAGTAAGTATTCCCCTTACTGTGGATTGATTTGACAGAGATATCTCCACTACTCATCAACTCAGAAACACCAGATTATCTTGTTAATTAAACCACATTGATTGGTTTAAAATGCCAAACGAATGCCGTGCTTCCATGAGCGTCAAATCCCGCCGCCGATGGGAATACATTGCAATCAGTTGAAAGCTCTTTGCGTCCCTTTATGAAGCTGAAGGAGCCTCGGAGCGTCCCAACTGCACGCCTCGGGACCCTGACCAAGCGTCGCTCCTGGACGCTCAGGACCCTGACCAAGCGTCGCTCCTGGACGCTCAGGACCCTGACCAAGCGTCGCTCCTGGACGCTCAGGACCCTGACCAAGCGTCGCTCCTGGACGCCTCGGGACCCTGACCAAGCGTCGCTCCTGGACGCTTAGGGAGTGAGAGTGTGTTGGGGAGAGGAGTCACAGCTTATATAACATATAGTATAAACCAGGTGTGTGTGTGTGTGTGTGTGTGTGTGTGTGTGTGTGTGTGTGTGTGTGTGTGTGTGTGTGTGTGTGTGTGTGTGTGTGTGTGTGTGTGTGTGTGTGTGTGTGTGTGTGTGTGTGTGTGTGTGTGTGTGTGTGTGGTCACCTCCCGGTCAGGTGGTGATCTGTCGTCCTATCAGCTGACAGATCACCTGTTGATTGACAGGTATGATCATTACCATGGCGACAGGCTGTCTCACAGACGAGGGTCCGGGAACAAAGAGACCCTGAAGAGGCTTTATGCATATTCACTGAAATATACAGTATTATATATATATAATAACACTGATCACTACTATATATATATATATATATATAGTAGTGATCAGTGTTAATGTGAATAGGTGTCCTCTCAGGTGAACACCTCAGGAGGAGCTGTGCGTCTCCTGAACTTTGAGAGACTTTATTAGAAATCTTTGTATAAAATGTTTTATCATCAAAATATTAAGAAGTTTTTACAACTCTTTCTAAACTTGGTGTAGAATTCTGTCTGAGGAGAAAGAGGTTTCCATGAGTCTTTAAAGACGTCTCAGGAGGTCACACACACACACACACACACACACACACACACACACACACACACACACACACACACACACACACACACACACACTGACCCCCCCCACACACACACACTGACCCCCCCCCCACACACACTGACCCCCCCCCCCCACACACACACACACCTGAGACTCAAATGTTTGAGACTCTGGAGATAAACAGTTCCTTGAATGTCCTCAGGCCTTAAAACATGTTTCTTTAACCTCTTAAACTCTGAGCCTGTTTCTCAGACCTCAGGCTCTAAATGACATTCCCAGAACAAATGACCATATCTTCTAAAAGGGTTAAATTAATAATCTTTTTTCTCAAAGTAATGATAAACCTGTGAGTTGGATGTAGAAAAGTCAGAATCAATATAGATGTTTTTTATTTTAAAGTAAATTCAGATTGAACATAGTAAAAAACTGTAAATGATCGTGTCCGTCCAAAAGAAAAGGTATAGTGAAACCCACCCTGAATGATGGGATGGGAGACTAAAAGCTTTAGGAATCCAAACTATAACATATAAGTACGTTTTTGAGGGTTTTTGTAATGATGGGTTATCAGTAATCATTTGAAAGAGACACGGAGACATCGGGTTAACCTTCAGCAGCGCTTTTATTCCCTTGATCACAAAACAAGGTAAGACGTAATTATTGTTATGGTTTTGAACACTGATGTTACCTTGCTCTGTTCTGGCTGCTCGGTCAGTGAGTTCTGGCCGTGCACTGATGAGACCTTGCTCTGTTCTGGCTGCTCGCTCAGTGGGTTCTGGCCGTGCACTGATGAGACCTTGCTCTGTTCTGGCTGCTCGCTCAGTGGGTTCTGGCCGTGCACTGAGGAGACCTTGCTCTGTTCTGGCTGCTCGCTCAGTGGGTTCTGGCCGTGCACTGATGAGACCTTGCTCTGTTCTGGCTGCTCGCTCAGTGGGTTCTGGCCGTGCAGTGAGGAGACCTTGCTCTGCTCTGGCTGCTCGCTCAGTGGGTTCTGGCCGTGCAGTGAGGAGACCTTGCTCTGTTCTGGCTGCTCGCTCAGTGAGTTCTGGCCGTGCAGTGAGGAGACCTTGCTCTGTTCTGGCTGCTCGCTCAGTGAGTTCTGGCCGTGCAGTGAGGAGACCTATACCCATGGAATCTGTGGAATCTCAGCTTTCAGATGATGTGTCGTTTGTGCAGATAGTCTGAAGTGTAAAAGATCGTTTTTGTGAGTTATGAGCAGAGATAGCATTAGCCCGTTTTCGCTAAGGGCTCATTTAGACGCCTCGTGTTAGACTTGTGTTTTTGTTTCGGTAAAAACGGTTCATATCGTCAGTTAGCTGAGTTTCTTACCGTTAGCTGGGTGTGACACATTCATAGTTTGTTAGATGTTAAGAAGCCCTGAGACAGTTTCGTGAAAAAAAAGCCTGCGGGCCCAGGTTCAATGATCCCTGGGTTCCTTAAAGGTTCCTGAAGCATCCAGGGTTCTTCAAAAGTTAATTAAGAAACATCCATAGGTTCCTTAAAAGTAAAATAAGAACTCTATGGGGTTCATAAATAGACCTTAGAAACATCCTATGGTCCCTAAAGGTTCAGTTAAAAAGGTCTGGTTCCCCAAAAGTTCCCTGTACATTTATTAATCCCGGTTCTAAAAAGTTTGTAGAACCATCCCTTGTTCCCTAAAGTGTATAAAACCAGTGACAAACAGTTTGGAGACTTCTGATTGGTCCGGACGGTTCATCTTTATTGTGATTGGCTGCGGACATTCTTCTAAATATCAACAATAACATTTTCATTCATGAAAAGGCAGAGCAGAGAAGTTGTGGTCACATGATCACCTCACTGATGACATCACTGGGGCATTCTGCTGCTATTGGTTCGTTAAAGGCTTGATTGACAGCTCAGAGGACCAATGAGGGAAGAGTCCTGAAGTCAGTCGGATTGATTGATTGATTGAAAAGTTTATTAACAGCTTGTATATTGGGTACAGTACAGTACAGCTCAAAACATACAATTGTTAAGGGGATGCAGACCAGAGAAAGACTTTCGTCTTGTTTACATCAGGGTCCCCCATTTCCAATTCATCATATCATTTAAGACATATAAGACATATTTGACATACAGATGGCTTATTTACAATTTACATACAGGTGGTTTTTTACATACAGATGGCTTATTTACAATTTTCATCGGACATTAACCGACTGACTTCTTCTCCAGATTATTGATCAGATATTTAAATGTGATGGATGTTTATATTTTATGAGTTAGCTTCGAGCCAGAGATGAAAGTCTGAGACACTCGATGAGCATCTACTCCGTACGGCGGGTGTAGCTCCCACACTGAACACCAGGGTGACGTTTACATGACTAAAAGGTTTTCTGCTTTTTTCAGTAACATTCCCATTAGCTAATGCTAAGCTAACAGAGGACAAAAAGACAACACCTCAAACATCAAAAATGCGTTTTAAACATATTATTCGCAGAACGACTGACTTCCGATCTTTGGTCCCGAACCTCCGTCTCCGGGAGATTTGAAATATAAGACAAATCTTTTTTTCATTATTTTTTATAAAATCTTCTTTACAAAAAGAAAACGACTTTAGTATAAAAACGTTGATCTCTTATTCGCCATTTAGGTATAGAAAAGTGCTAAAATACAAATCAGTTACAATATGTTGTGAAAAGACGTCCAGAAACTCGCAGATATTTGAAGACATAATACATCTTTAGTTTCACAAAGCCTCGTCTTTCCCGCAGTGGTTTGTTCAGCAAGGCTCAAACTGAAATGCTCAAAAAGGGATTCAACCCAAAAACCCGTCTTTTGGACGAAAGCTTTGGTCGTTCCCGAATCCACCGACTGGGTCCAGGGAGAAGCTAGGGTGCTGATCCAGGACAATAAGATCCACTTATAAAGAAACTCGTAGTCCTTCAGAGAGTGGGTAAATATCCCCAAAGTCTTCCTGATGTTCCCCCCAATGCTCGAGGGAACATAATCCCCTGAGGAATCACATCATCTGGACACAAACTGGAACCTTCTGAAGGTTCCCACAAAAGTTCGGGGAATCTCAAGGATTCACAAAGATTTCCTGAAAATGTTCTCCGCTGCTTCCCGAGGCCATCCCAGAATATTCCTCACAGCTTTTGAAGAGTTTGATGCTGGACCTCCATCACAACACCATCCCACATCACAGCGGGAGCCCTTCGTGTGCGTCCGGAAGTCCTTTCAGATTATAATCCCATGTTCATAGAGAACACCCGACAGGATCTTTGGAATACGTGTGAAGTTGTTCCAACAAGTTCTGAAAGATTTCCAAAAATAGTTCAACCTTGTTTTCCGAAGCCATCTCAGAATATTCCTCACAGCTTTTGAAGAGTTTGATGCTGGTATCTGACCGCAACATGGTCACACATTGCATTGTAAATCTTTTAAAACGGTTCTGAAGTCCTTTGAGCTAATAATCCCATTTTTATGGAGAATACCAACATTCTCTGAATTCCTGTGAGGTCCCAACGTTCCTTGAAATCGCCTCAACAATTCCTCGGTTAAAATCCCAGAATATTCCTTAAGGAGTGCTAAGAGGTTCCTAAATGTCTCTGCAGTCGTCGTGGCAACAGCTGGTTCGTAGTGCATGAAGAACACATGGAGTGTCATTAATGTGCTAGGGGTTTTCCTTGATGCTGATTGGCTGGGAGGGTTGGGGTGTGAGGAGCTTTGGTTTTTACCTGAGCGGTGGGGGGTGGCTTTTTGTCGCTTTTGCGTACAACATTTAGTGTGAATTTATGACTTTATATTGCAGTGAATACAAGCATCGCAGTGTCAGTTATGATGAGCAGCCCGACACAGGTCCTGTCCTCGCCTCTGACGGGCCGATGAACCAGGGAGGCGGGGTCCTGTTGCACCTGAGTAACCGTACGTTCATTATTTAGGGTTTCATTTTTCTTGTGCTTTTTAAACGTCACAGTCAGACTATCAGGAGGTGCTCTCTGATTGGTCAAAAGTTAGGTAAAAGAGGGCGGGCTCAGCGTCCTGAGTGTAGTGGTGTCTGGCTGGGATTGGTCAGTAGAGGAGGGTGGGCGGGGCTTTGTGTATCCTGAGCGTCTGAATGGAGGAGAGGATCTTCTTCTGGTGTCCGGCGAGGGTCACGCCCACTCTGAGGAGATCTCTGCACACACACACACACACACACACACACACACACACACACACACACACACACACACACACACACACACACACACACCACACACACACACACACACACACACACACACACACACACACACACACACACACACACACACACACACAACACACACACACACACACACACACACACCACACACACACACACACACACACACACACACACACACACACACACACACACACACACACACACACACACACACACACACACACACACAGTCAGATGTACGTCTTAGTGTGTGAATATGAGCGTATTAAAGTCATGGTGTGTTACTCGGTGTTGAGGTGCGACACCGCGTCCAGGCTGGAGAGTCCGTTGGACAGGAAGCTGGCCTCGTATCGCTCCATCTTTATCGCCCGGAGCCACTCAGAGACCGAGCCACAGGCCGAGAGGGGGGGGGGGACACGCTGGTCCAACAGGGGGTGAGACACGCTGAGAGACAGACAGGTGAGGGACAGACAGGTGAGAGACAGACAGGTGAGAGACAGACAGGTGAGAGACACACAGGTGAGAGAGAGACAGGTGAGAGACACACAGGAGAGAGACAGACAGGTGAGAGAGAGACAGGTGAGAGACACACAGGTGAGAGAGAGACAGGTGAGAGACACACAGGTGAGAGACAGACAGGTGAGAGACACACAGGTGAGAGACAGACAGGTGAGAGACACACAGGTGAGAGAGAGGTGAGAGACACACAGGTGAGAGAGAGGTGAGAGACAGACAGGTAAGAGACAGACAGGAGAGAGACAGACAGGAGAGAGACAGACAGGAGAGAGACAGACAGGAGAGAGACAGACAGGTGAGAGACAGACAGGAGAGAGACAGACAGGAGAGAGACACACAGGTGAGAGACACACAGGTGAGAGACACACAGGTGAGAGACACACAGGTGAGAGACAGGTAAGAGACAGACAGGAGAGAGACAGACAGGAGAGAGACACACAGGAGAGAGACACACAGGTGAGAGACACACAGGTGAGAGACACACAGGTGAGAGACAGGTAAGAGACAGACAGGAGAGAGACAGACAGGAGAGAGACACACAGGAGAGAGACACACAGGTGAGAGACACACAGGTGAGAGACACACAGGTGAGAGACAGGTAAGAGACAGACAGGAGAGAGACAGACAGGAGAGAGACAGACAGGAGAGAGACAGACAGGAGAGAGACACACAGGTGAGAGACACACAGGTGAGAGACAGGTAAGAGACAGACAGGAGAGAGACAGACAGGAGAGAGACAGACAGGAGAGAGACAGACAGGTGAGAGACAGACAGGAGAGAGACACACAGGTGAGAGACAGACAGGTGAGAGACAGACAGGTGAGAGAGAGACAGGAGAGAGACACACAGGTGAGAGACAGACAGGTGAGAGACAGACAGGAGAGAGACAGACAGGAGAGAGACAGACAGGAGAGAGACACACAGGTGAGAGACACACAGGTGAGAGACAGACAGGTGAGAGACACACAGGTGAGAGACAGACAGGTGAGAGACACACAGGTGAGAGACAGACAGGTGAGAGACAGGTGAGAGACAGACAGGAGAGAGACACACAGGAGAGAGACAGGTGAGAGACAGACAGGATTAATGAGAGGAGGGTCAAACAGAGGCTGACCGTCTGATAAACTGTAAAAGACTCAAAACAGCAAAAAGTCATTAATTGAAAAAACATTCTGAAGAAATACCAAAGAATAAAAAAAACAGTTTTATTAAGAAGTTTGAAAAATAAAAAAATACACAATACAATTCTTAAAAAGCCTAAGAAAGAAGAGAGCGTGAGATGTCTTTAGAAAGTCCCAGAACCCGAGGGTCCTCCAGATTCAGGTCTGCAGGATTACAGCCTCTAATGAAACAGGAAGTGACTTCCTGCTGAGACTCAATGCAGGAATGTGCACCTGCTCATGTAAACAACTCCGTATAAACAGCTGTCAATCAAGCCCACTGTGTGTGTGTGTGTGACCTCTGACCCCCAGCAGCTGGGGCATAATTGACATTCCTCATCTGTCAATCAAAACCCCCTACTATACATTAAACCACTGCAGATGTTTGAATACGTGTGTGTGTGTGTGTGTGTGTGTGTGTGGTGTGTGTGTATGTGTGTGTGTGTGTGTGTGTGTGTGTGTGTGTGTGTGTGTGTGTGTGTGTGTGTGTGTGTGTGTGTATGTATGTGTGTGTATGTGTATGTGTATGTGTATGTGTATGTGTGTGTGTGTGTGTGTGTGTGTGTGTATGTGTGTGTGTGTGTGTGTGTGTGTGTGTGTGTGTGTGTGTGTGTGTGGTTAAATATACCTTCTACACACATTGTTCATATATGATATTCATTGCTATCTGGATGTTAAGAGCATTCCATGGAATATAACAAAAAGTGTATCTCCAGCCGGTTTCTCAAACTTACCTATCCCACCTTTAAGGTATAATATTCCTGTGTTAACGCCCCCCCCCCCTCCCTAACAAGGTGTGTTAACGCCCCCCCCCCCCCTCCCTAACAAGGTGTGTTAACGCCCCCCCCCCCCCCTCCCTCCCCTAACAAGGTGTGTTAACGCCCCCCCCCCCCCCCCCTAACAAGGTGTGTTAACGCCCCCCCCCCCCCCTCCCTAACAAGGTGTGTTAACGCCCCCCCCCTCCCTAACAAGGTGTGTTAACGCCCCCCCCTCCCTAACAAGGTGTGTTAACGCCCCCCCCCTCCCTAACAAGTGTGTGTTAATGCCCCCCCCCCCTCCCTAACAAGGTGTGTTAACGCCCCCCCCCCCTCCCCTAACAAGGTGTGTTAACGCCCCCCCTCCCAAAGTAATGATAAACCTGTGAGTTGGATGTAGAAAAGTCAGAATCAATATAAATGTTTTTTATTTTAAAGAAAATTCAGATTTTACATAGTAAAAAACTGTAAATTATAGTGTCCGTCCAAAAATTATTTTTTACAGATAGTGAAAAACTACCCTTGGATGATGGGTTAGTAGACTAAAAGCTTTAGGAATCCAAAGTACAACATATAATAAGTACCCTGTATCAAGATTGATGCAAAACAAGTGAAATTTGACCTTTTTAGAGAGATTTAGCCAAAAACTGGGCCATCTGGGGTCATTTGGGTGGATTTGACCTATCTCTGGCCCCCCTTGCTCGATCTGGTTGGTTGACATACCCTTGTGACCGTTAGAGCCAATAGAATCGAAGGAGGAGGCTCCCACCCAGACAGGTTGTAAAGAAAAAATGTTGCCGCTTCGCGTGTGGAAAGCGAAACTAAACTGGAGGAATGTCTCCTTCTGGAGTTTGGAAACTAAAACGCAGTTGTATTGCTTATGGATTATCAGAAATAATTTCAAAGAAGGCACAGACACATAGGATGAACCTATGGATTAACTGCAGCATCGTTTTTTTATCGTTTTAATGCCATTGAAGACCAAGGTGAGCCATATTTATATGTTTAGCTTCTTGGCTCCACATGTGATGATGTACGCTTTCGTTGATAGCGTCGCGAATGTTTATCACTGAGTGTTGAGGTGGGCACCGGTAGATTCAGTGTCTCCAGGACACCAAAAACGAGTGGTTGGCTGTGCATCTAGGATAAGTAATAAGGGAGTTCTGAGTGAGTTTATGTGTCTTTGTCGGTCCCGTTTTTTCGATCGAGGCTAATTCAGAGGCTGAGTGCTAGCATTGTGGGTTTTTTTTTGAAAAAAAAATTAAAAAGATCAGTTAGCTGAGTTTCTTCCCGTTACATGGATATAACACATTCATAGTTTTATTCAATATTAAGATTCCTTAGACGTTGTTTCCTGCAAATGACGCGTTTATCCGCCCGGTACCGGGGGGAAGGCGTGAAACAGGTTAACGCCCCCCCTCCCTAACAAGGTGTGTTAACGCCCCCCCCCTCCCTAACAAGGTGTGTTAACGCCCCCCCCTCCCTAACAAGGTGTGTTAACGCCCCCCCCCTCCCTAACAAGGTGTGTTAATGGCCCCCCCCCCCTCCTAACAAGGTGTGTTGTTAACGCCCCCCCCCCTACTCCCCCCCTCCCTACAAGGTGATGATGTTAACGCCCCCCCCCTCCCTAACAAGGTGTGTTAACGCCCCCCCCTCCCTAACAAGGTGTGTAACGCCCCCCCCCCCCCCCTAACGAGGTGTTAACGCCCCCCCCCCCCCCCTAACAAGGTGTGTTAACGCCCCCCCCCCCTCCCTAACAAGGTGTGTTAACGCCCCCCCCCCCCTCCCCTAACAAGGTTGTGTTAACGCCCCCCCCCCCCTCCCTAACAAGGGTGTTAACGCCCCCCCCTCCCTAACAAGGTGTGTTAACGCCCCCCCCCCCTCCCTAACAAGGTGTGTTAACGCCCCCCCACTCCCTAACAAGGTGTGTTAACGCCCCCCCCTCCCTAACAAGGTGTGTTAACGCCCCCCCCCCCCCTCCCTAACAAGGTGTGTTACCCGCCCCACCACCCCCCCCCCTCCCTAACAAGGTGTGTTAACGCCCCCCCCCCCCCCTCCCTAACAAGGTGTGTTAACGCCCCCCCCCCTCCCTAACAAGGTGTGTTAACGCCCCCCCCCCCCCCCACTCCCTAACAAGGTGTGTTACCGCCCCCCCCCCTCCCTAACAAGGTGTGATAACGCCCCCCCCACTCCCTAACAAGGTGTGTTACCGCCCCCCCCCCTCCCTAACGAGGTGTGTTAACGAGCCTCACCTGACTCCCTCTGCGCTCGTGGCCTTCAGGGAGGCGGGGTTTCGGATCAGCCTATCGAGCGAGGCCACCACGTCGCAGAACCTCGGCCGATTGGCTCGTTCCTTCTGCCAGCAGTCCAGCATGAGAGCGTGCAGGGAGGAGGGGCAGTCCGGGGGGGGGGGCAGCCGGTAGTCCTGCTCGATGGCGTTGATCACCTGACGCAGGAAACCAATTAATCAATTAAACAGGAACAATGACAAAGGTGGGTCAACACGGGGGTTCTAACACGTACGTCCTGGTTGCTCATGTCCCAGTACGGCCGCTCCCCGTACGACATCACCTCCCACATCACGATGCCGTAGCTCCACCCGTCGCTGGCCGACGTGAACTTCCTGCAGCGCAGATCATATACAAACATAACTACAACAACAAATCATTACAAATAAATAACAACGGTTTCAAATCTTAGCAAAATAAATGTTTCTGTGAAGAAAGAGAGAAAGTGTGAACACCTGGTGAACGAGGAGAGTTACGCTCAGAGGTCAAAGGCCTCGACGAGGTCAAAGGTCTCGACGAGGTCAAAGGCCTCGACGAGGTCAAAGGCCTCGACGAGGTCAAAGGTCTCGACGAGGTCAAAGGCCTCGACGAGGTCAAAGGCCTCGACGAGGTCAAAGGCCTCGACGAGGTCAAAGGTCTCGACGAGGTCAAAGGCCTCGACGAGGTCAAAGGCCTCGACGAGGTCAAAGGTCTCGACGAGGTCAAAGGTCTCAGCGAGGCTCACCTGTAGGCGATGGCTTCAGGCGCCGTCCAGCGGATGGGGATCTTCCCTCCCTGAGACACAGAACGTTACTGAAGGAGGTTCTAATGAGGAACAGTGTGTGAATATTAAAGTGGTAAAGAGAGAGGTACCAGAGAGCTGGTGTACGTCGGGTCTGAAGAGTTCTCCGTCAGGAACCTGCTGAGCCCGAAGTCCGACACCTGAGGACACACAGGGTTTAAGGAACCTTTAGGAGCTGATTAAGGAACCCTTAGAACCCTCACCTTGCAGACCAGGTTGGCGTTCACCAGAATGTTTAAGGAACCTTAAGGAGCTGTCTAAGGAACCTTCAGGAGCTGTCTAAGGAACCCTTAGAACCCTCACCTTGCAGACCAGGTTGGCGTTCACCAGGATGTTCCGCGCGGCCAGGTCTCTGTGCACGAAGCTCATGTCCGACAGGTACTTCATCCCAGCAGCGATTCCCCGAAGCATCCCCACCAGCTGGAGGGGGGCGAACTGCCCGTCATTCATCTGGAACAGCCAATCAGAGGTAAACAATCAGAGGTAAACAATCAGAGACAAACAATCAGAGACAGCCAATCAGAGACAGCCAATCAGAGACAGCCAATCAGAGACTGCCAATCAGAGACAGCCAATCAGAGACAAACAATCAGAGACAGCCAATCAGAGACAGCCAATCAGATACAGGTGTGACAGACAGGTAGACAGGTAGAGAGTGAGACAGGCAGACAGACAGACAGACAGGTAGACAGACAGGTAGAGAGTGAGACAGGCAGACAGACAGGTAGAGAGTGAGACAGGCAGACAGACAGGTAGAGAGTGAGACAGGCAGACAGACAGGTAGAGAGTGAGACAGGCAGACAGACAGACAGACAGGTAGACAGACAGGTAGAGAGCGAGACAGGTAGACAGACAGGTAGAGAGTGAGACAGGCAGACAGACAGGTAGAGAGTGAGACAGGCAGACAGACAGACAGACAGGTAGACAGACAGGTAGAGAGTGAGACAGGTAGACAGACAGGTAGAGAGTGAGACAGGCAGACAGACAGGCAGACAGACAGGTAGACAGACAGGTAGACAGACAGGTAGAGAGTGAGACAGGCAGACAGACAGGTAGACAGACAGGTAGAGAGTGAGACAGGCAGACAGACAGGTAGACAGACAGGTAGAGAGTGAGACAGGCAGACAGACAGGCAGACAGACAGGCAGACAGACAGGTAGACAGACAGGTAGACAGACAGGTAGACAGACAGGCAGGTACCCTGAGGAAGCTGTCCAGCGCTCCGTTCTCCATGAACTCAGTGAGGATCATCACAGGACAGGAGGTGGTGATGACGCCCTCCAGGTGGATGATGTTGGGGTGCTGGAACTGACCCATGATGGACGCCTCGGACAGGAAGTCCCGCCTCTGCTTCTCCGTGAACCCGCCCTTCAGAGTCTTTATCGCCACGTAGTTCTCCTTCCTGCCCGGCAGCCGGAGCCGGCCGCGGCACACCTCCCCAAACTCACCTGTACAGGTAGATATGATATATTAATATCTAATAACACACACCTCCCCAAACTCACCTGTACAGGTAGATATGATATATTAATATCTAATAACACACACCTCCCCAAACTCACCTGTACAGGTAGATATGATATATTCATATCTAATAACACACACCTCCCCAAACTCACCTGTACAGGTAGATATGATATATTAATATCTAATAACACACACCTCCCCAAACTCACCTGTACAGGTAGATATGATATATTCATATCTAATAACACCTCCCCAAACTCACCTGTACAGGTAGATATGATATATTCATATCTAATAACACACACCTCCCCAAACTCACCTGTACAGGTAGATATGATATATTCATATCTAATAACACACACCTCCCCAAACTCACCTGTACAGGTAGATATGATATATTCATATCTAATAACACACACCTCCCCAAACTCACCTGTACAGGTAGATATGATATATTCATATCTAATAACACACACCTCCCCAAACTCACCTGTACAGGTAGATATTATGAGTTGAAGACGTCAGAGCTCACTAACAAAAAACGTTATTGATTTTCATTATAAAGACAAAACACAGGAGAGGTGTACTGTTCCTTTAAGACTCGTTAGCACGTACCAACATGTCTGCAGCTCTCTCTCACACACACACACACACACACACACACACACACACACACACACACACACACACACACACACACACACACACACACACACACACACACACACACACCACACACACACACACACACACACACACACACACACACACACACACACACACACACACACACACACACACACACACACACCCCTTTAATAAAGAAGGCTCATGTTCTCCGTGTGAACACAGATTCTTTTGGCAGTCTTTCAAAATGAAAGTCAGAAAAAAAGGTGTCTTAACAGGTTCTGTGTTCTTAAAAAGTTCCACAAAGAATCAGAACCCTTGCCTACATTTTCCTTAAACATCCGGATTATTTATCAACTACCCCTAAAATGTTCCAATGCTAACCAGGGTTCCTCAAAGGTTCCTAAAACGTTCCTAATGCCAACCAGAGTTCCTAAAACGTTCCTAATGCCAACCAGAGTTCCTAAAAAGTTCCTAATGCTAACCAGAGTTCCTAAAAAGTTCCTGATGCTAACCAGAGTTCCTAAAGAGTTCCTAATGCTAACCAGAGTTCCTAAAACGTTCCTGATGCTAACCAGAGTCCCTAAAACGTTCCTGATGCTAACCAGAGTTCCTAAAACGTTCCTGATGCTAACCAGAGTTCCTTAAATGTTCCTGATGCTAACCAGAGTTCCTTAAATGTTCCTGATGCTAACCAGAGTTCCTAAAAAGTTCCTGATGCTAACCAGAGTTCCTAAAAAGTTCCTGATGCTAACCAGAGTTCCTAAAACGTTCCTGATGCTAACCAGAGTTCCTAAAACGTTCCTGATGCTAACCAGAGTTCCTAAAAAGTTCCTAAAAAGTTCCTAATGCTAACCAGAGTTCCTCAAAAGTTCCTAAAAAGTTCCTAATGCTAACCAGAGTTCCTCAAAAGTTCCTGATGCTAACCAGAGTTCCTCAAAAGTTCCTGATGCTAACCAGAGTTCCTAAAACGTTCCTGATGCTAACCAGAGTTCCTAAAACTTTCCTGATGCTAACCAGAGTTCCTTAAACGTTCCTAAAATGCTTACTCGGTTCTTCTTGGTGCCTCAAAGGTTCTGTGGTTGCTCAAAGGTTCCTAAAGTTAAAGGGTTCTGTGGTTGCTCAAAGGTTCCTAAAGTTAAAGGGTTCTGTGGTTGCTCAAAGGTTCCTAAAGTTAAAGGGTTCTGTGGTTCCTCACCGGCTCCTATCACCTCCTCGATCTTCACGAAGGACGCCTCGATCTCTTTCGCGAATTCTCTCACCGCCTCGTTAGGATCCTCGTAGGTGAAGGGGTCGATGTACACCTTCATCGCTACGGCAACCACAACATCATCATTACATCATCATCATGACATCATGAGCAGTGACAGCTTCTGATTGGATGATCTGATACTCACTATGTCCCATCTGGTAATGAGTCTCACTGATCGCTGAGGAGAGAGACCTCCTGCTGAGAGACAGACAGGTGAGAGACAGACAGGTGAGAGAGAGAGACAGGTGAGAGAGAGACAGGTGAGAGACAGACAGGTGAGAGAGAGAGACAGGTGAGAGAGAGACAGGTGAGAGACAGACAGGTGAGAGACAGACAGGTGAGAGAGAGAGACAGGTGAGAGACAGACAGGTGAGAGAGAGAGACAGGTGAGAGACAGACAGGTGAGAGACAGACAGGTGAGAGACAGACAGGTGAGAGAGAGAGACAGGTGAGAGACAGACAGGTGAGAGAGAGAGACAGGTGAGAGAGAGAGACAGGTGAGAGACAGACAGGTGAGAGACAGACAGGTGAGAGAGAGAGAGACAGGTGAGAGACAGACAGGTGAGAGACAGACAGGTGAGAGAGAGAGAGACAGGTGAGAGAGGTGAGAGAGACACAGGTGAGAGACGGATAGGTGAGAGAGAGACAGGTGAGAGAGAGAGAGACAGGTGAGAGAGGTGAGAGAGAGACAGGTGAGAGACAGATAGGTGAGAGAGAGAGACAGGTGAGAGAGACACAGGGTGAGAGAGAGAGAGACAGGTGAGAGAGAGAGAGAGACAGGTGAGAGAGAGACAGGTGAGAGACAGGAGAGAGAGAGACAGGAGAGAGAGAGACAGGTGAGAGAGAGGACAGGTGAGAGAGAGAGACAGGTGAGAGAGAGAGAGAGACAGGTGAGAGAGAGAGAGACAGGTGAGAGAGAGACAGGTGAGAGAGAGACAGGTATTTAGTTTAAATGAAGCTAAAGCAGTTCCTAAGAACTTTCAAAACCTAGTACAAACTTGTTAGGAGCTGCATGACACACACACACACACACACACACACACACACACACACACACACACACACACACACACCACACACACACACACACACACACACACACACACACACACACACACACACACACACACACACACACACACACACACAACACACACACACACACACACACACACACACACACACACACACACACACACACACACACACACACACACACACACACACACACACACCACCCCCCCCCCCTCAGGAATGTTATTATCTCTCAGAGTCTCCAGTTTCTCCGTCTTTATATAGTCGACCAGTCCCACCCGACTGAGTGTGTGTGTGTGTGTGTGTGTGTGTGTGTGTGTGTGTGTGTGTGTGTCCTGGGGTCAGCGCTCCATTGTCCTGCAGGGAGGGAGCATCCTGAACACATCACAGGTTTCTCTGGAGGTTCTGAGATCCGGAAACCTCCAACAGGAAACAGAACTTCTGTTCCTCAGAAACTCTAAACACCATCAACTGATCCTCTGCAGCTGTTAGCTGTTAGCTGTTAGCCATGCAGGAGTTAGCTCGTATGTTAGCTGTACAGCAGTTAGCTCGTATGTTAGCCGTACAGCAGTTAGCTCGTATGTTAGCCGTACAGCAGTTAGCTCGTATGTTAGCCGTACAGCAGTTAGCTCGTATGTTAGCCGTACAGCAGTTAGCTCGTATGTTAGCCGTACAGCAGTTAGCTCGTATGTTAGCCGTACAGCAGTTAGCTCGTATGTTAGCCGTACAGCAGTTAGCTCGTATGTTAGCCGTACAGCAGTTAGCTCGTATGTTAGCCGTACAGCAGTTAGCTCGTATGTTAGCCGTACAGCAGTTAGCTCGTATGTTAGCCGTACAGCAGTTAGCTCGTATGTTAGCCGTACAGCAGTTATCTCGTATGTTAGCCGTACAGCAGTTATCTCGTATGTTAGCCGTACAGCAGTTATCTCGTATGTTAGCCGTACAGCAGTTAGCTCGTATGTTAGCCGTACAGCAGTTAGCTCGTATGTTAGCCGTACAGCAGTTATCTCGTATGTTAGCCGTACAGCAGTTAGCTCGTATGTTAGCCGTACAGCAGTTAGCTCGTATGTTAGCCGTACAGCAGTTATCTCGTATGTTAGCCGTACAGCAGTTATCTCGTATGTTAGCCGTACAGCAGTTAGCTCGTATGTTAGCCGTACATCAGTTAGCTTTACACACACACACACACACACACTTACCGGTAACAGATCACAGCGACGGTCACCATGGCGATGAGCAGCAGGATCCCCATGGCGACGAGGACTCCGGTCACTACGGGCTGAGCGCCTCCTTCATGGACAATCAGACGTCTCAGTGACTACAGCATATATACACAATAACACAAATATATATACACTAACACTAATATATATATACACATTAATACTAATTAGTGCTGTCAATAGATCCAAATATTTAATCGAATTATTCACAATAAAATGCTGTGATCTATCCGATTAATCGCAAGTTTAAAAGAAACATATTTACTT